CTGTCTCCGGGTTCGGGGGGCCTTATCCGCTGCGCCACCTAGTGGTCAGTCGTGCTACATGCATTACAAGGCCTGGACAGGTCACCGCCTCCTCCTCCTGCCCTGTGAGATAGTTTGATGGACCCAGAGTGGAGAAGACCTGAGTTCAGATCTTGCCTTAGGGTCTGAGTCCACAAGCATTAATGAAGCGCTTACTGTATGCTGTGCACTTTGCAAATCTCAAGTCTTCTGCTGCCTCATCAGGGTCCCCTCCCACAAATCCTTTAGGCTCTCTCAGACTCAGTTTCCTCCTCCGTAAAATAGGGGTACAGGAACTTCCCTCCCAGGGTTGTGGTGAGACAGTGAGCTTTGCACACCAATGGAGATGTGGGCCCTCCCTCTGGCCGTGGTCTCTGTATTTGTGCTCTTGTCTGTAGCCTTGGACTGTAAGCTCCCCGAAGGCAGTGCCTTGCACCCGGGTGTCAGAGGACCTGGGTTCCAATCCTGCTCAGCCGTAAAATGGGGGAGGGATCCCCGAGAACCCTCCCAGCTTTGGATCTGGGACCCTGTGGCCCCCTGGACCCACCCCCTCCCCACACATGCTAGCAAAGACCCCAGGAATAGGCTTGGGATGGGGGGGCAGGGTGAGAAGCTGGACGTCCCCTGCGCTGGGAAGAGAAGCCGCGTCTGTGGGTGAAATATCGTCTCTTGGATTAGCAGATAGACTGAGAATGAGGGAATAATAGAGAGGCAGATCGATAGGAAACGGGCAGCCTCTTCCCCCCAGCACTCACGGCCAAGGGGGCCGCAGGGGAAGGTCAGGGTCAAGGTCAAGGTCACCACAGACTGCAGGTCATCCCTCCCTCCCACCCCAGCCCCTTCTCTTCACAGAGGAAGCCGAGGAAGGACCCATGAGGAGACGCCTCTGTGCTCTCAGCAGAGGTGGTGGAGCGTGCGTGCAGAAGGAGGCCTACCTTGTGGCCCGTGTGCCCTCCCGTGGGACGGGGGAAGGATTTTGGGGCTGGGGGGTCATCAGGAAGGAAGACCAGCTTGGGAGCTGAAGGATCTGGGTCCCAGCCTGGGAAACTCTGTCACCTCTGGCAAGTGACTTTCCAGGCCTGAGTTTCCCAATCTGTAAAATGAAGAGGTTGGACTGAGGAAGAAGATGCTCAGCCTGGTAAATGGCTTGCCCAAGCTCAGACAGGTCACATTGAAGCCAGAACCAGGACTCAAACCCAGGTCCTCACGCTTGCTCCACTGTACTCAGCCGGAGGGCAGTCTGGCCTAGGCCAAAGAGGCCTGGACTGGTTGTGAGACCCTGGGAAGGAGGTCCTCTATCTCTGAGCCTCAGTTTCCTTCTCTGTCAAATGAGGGCAGGAGGCTTGGAATTAGCTGAAGGTAACCGTGGCTGTTTTTGGTATTCTCAATAGTAACAGTAATATTGCTGTCCTTTGTTAGGAGGGGGAGGTCTGGCCCTGTCTCTGGCACCTTCTTTTTGTGTGACCTTGAACAAGTCTCCTCCCTTCTCCAGGCCTCAGAAAGGGCGTGGGTTTGATGCTCTTAGGAGCCCTCTGCCAGGCCATCCTTTGCTAGGGCAAGACACTGGGGCTTATGGCAGCCTCGAAGGTCTCTCGACCCCCGAGGGGACGGTGCCTTTTACCGCCCAGCATGGGCGCAGGCCAGGACTGTGAGAAGGGAACCTGGCCGGGGTGTGGGGAGGGGCAGTCCCTTCCACACACAGAGCCCCCCACCCTGCCCCCAGCCAGAGGTGCTTTGAGACTCTTCCCCAACCCCCTTCCTGCCTTCCTCCCTCTGGCCCTGGGAAGGCTGCCAAAGGTCTTTCATTTCCAGACAGATGAGAAAGGGGCAGGGGAGGGGGAGGCACGAGGCCAGGCATGGGGGTCCCGGGAGGGAGGCTGCCCTGGCTGGCCTGGTGCACATCTGCTGGGGAGCCAGCCCTTGGCCCACACACCGCCATTCCGCGAGGCTGAATGGGGGCTTCCCCAATCCCCTCCTGAGGACTCACCGGGCTTGGGGCAGAACCTCTAATTCGGAGATAGCATGGCCGAGCTGGGCGAGATGGGGAGAAAACCTTGGAACGTAAAGTATTGAGCTGGGGGACCTTCGAACCTAGAATGTGGAAGGTCATGGCTGGGTGGGGGCACCTGAGAACCATATAACGTTGAAGATCAGAGCGGGGAGGGGCCTTAGAACACAGAACACATCCTCTAGGGCACAGCCCTCTACAGATGGGAAAACTGAGTCCCAGAGAGGCCCTGACAATCAGTGGCGGAAGTGGAGCCTAGAACCCCCAGGTTCCCCAGGACCATCACGGGTGGCTCCCTCGCCACACACAGTGTTTTCCATACCTAGGGGCACGTCACTGGCCCAGGCAGGTCGGGGGGAAGGGCCAGAGCTCAGGGGGCCCTGCTGCTTCCCTCCACAGTGGACGGCTGTATCCACCGAGCTGCGGGGCACCTGCTGACCGAGGAGTGCCGTACTTTACATAGCTGCGAGACTGGTAAAGCCAAGATCACCGGGGGCTACCGCCTGCCGGCCAAGTGTACGTATGCCTGCCCCTGCAACCTGAGAGGGAAGAAGATGCGCCTCCTCTGAGCTCTAGGCCAGGCGAGGCCTCTGGAGCGGCACACCCCTGGCCTGGGCCCTCTGTCCCTTCAGGGCACCCTCCCTGGTCTGTCCCATTGTGTGCTGGGTCCTCACCCCTGCCTTCCCTCCTCACTTCTCACCACCCCACATTGCCCCGGCCTCCTTGGGCAACTGCTGGCCACCTGCTCTGCCCATCCCCATGGCAAGAGTGGCAATTACAACCAAAAAAAAAACCCCATCCAAGTGTGGCACGTGTTCCACAGCGGCTCATAGCATCACATCCAGGCTTGGGTCTTGGGGGTCACAGCCACTCACAGCCCTCTGCCCCCTCCCTATGGGTGATTGTACCCTGAGCCTGCCAGCCTGGATGGATGTCAGGGGTGCCTCTGGCAGGCCCCGGGCCCCTGGCTGGGCACTGACCTCACCTCCAGGCCCTCTCAGGGCCTCACACCCTGAGCCCTGGGCGAGATGGGGAGGCTTCCAGACTTTCCTAGGCAGAGGTGAGGGAAAGACAAAGAGAATCTGTCTGGATTGGGCGCTGTGCCCATGTCCCTCCACGCTGTCTCATGTGGTCCGTGCCCACGTGGATGGGAGGCCTGTATGCCTCCCATCAGCCAGTGGGTGGGCTGGGTGTTTCATTCCCCATCTTAATTGTGCCAGGTCAGCTGGTGTCAGTCTTCTGGGTTCCCCTTGGGTAGGGGGAAGGAGGCGCCAGGCAGGGATGGGGGTTTGAGGTAACAGAGATCCAGAGGGGAAGTGACTGGGCCAAGGTCATCCAGGCAGCGCTTGAGTGTGGAATCGCACACCACGGGTGCCAGCAGTCCAAGGACTCCCCCTCCCTGGTGTCGTGTCCTGAGCCACTCTCTGGGCAAGGAGGGGGCATGTGGGCACCAGGCAAGGGCAGGGGCGCCACAGTGGGGCTCCACCCTGAGGTTAGCCTCGGCTCTCGCTTCCCACAGACGTCATCCATACCGTGGGGCCCATCGCTCAGGGAGACCCCAGCCCCAGCCAGGTCCAGGAGCTGCGTAACTGCTATGTGAACAGCCTGCAGCTGGCGCTGGAGCACCGCCTCCGCTCAGTGGTGAGGGAGGAGGGAGCCCTGGGCCCTGGCTGTGTGCATTTGGGGGGCGCGGGCAGAAGCCCCAGCTAACAGCTGTGTTTGTCTCCCAGGCCTTCCCTTGCATCTCCACTGGGGTCTTTGGTGAGTGTGGCTGTGGCCAGAGGGAAAGTGGGCAGGGTGGGGGGAGAAGCCGCTGAGACTTCAGCTCCTCCTGGACTCCTGCAGGTTACCCCAATGAGGCTGCAGCTGAGGTCGTCCTGAGCACCCTCCGAGAGTGGCTGGAGGAGCACAAGGACAAGGTAGGGGGCTCATTTGGGGACCCCCCCCAGCTCCACGGTGTCCTCTACAAACGAGGGGGTTCTGGCTCTAGTCTCTGACAGGGAAGGGGGAGGGACTGGCTGGGGGGGGGTCCTCTCTGAGCACCCAGACCCTTCTCTGGCCTTAGGTGGATCGACTGCTCATCTGCGTGTTCCTGGAAAAGGACGAGGAGATATACCGCAAGCGGCTGCCTCATTTCTTCCCTGTGGGTAGGTAACCCCTCCGTCCCCCACCCCATTCTCTAGTCTGCCCCCAAATCGCCCGGTGCCCCTTGGGCGCCCCACCTAGCCCTGAACCCTCAGGGTGCACCCCAGGTGACTCGGGTCCTTTGGAGCCTGGGGGAGGGAGCATCACGGGGGGGGGAGGACTCATCCTTGTGCGTGGCCTTCACTCTCCTCTGCCTTCCAGCCTGAAGCTGCCCCTCCCCACTCCCCAAGACTGGTAAGAAAGGTCCCAGAGTGCTGTGCGCGGGCACTAACCATCCTCATCCTCCCAGGCACCAGCTAACCCACTCCCCTTCCCCCACCAGAGGCAGACAGGGCTGCTGGCTCCCCCTCCCCCATCCCGGGCCAGGGCTGGGGGCTGCGGGGGAACAGGGTGGGGAGGCAGGAGGGGGCCTGGGCTGACACTTGGGGTTCTCCCTGCAGATCCTCCCGCGGGGCTGCAGTCCCAGCTCTGAGGATGAGACCATTCAGCCCACCCAAGCTGCCCTCACCCCGGATCCCCCTTCCCCATGACCCTCCCACAGGAATGAGGCTGTCACAATACGACTCAATAAAGAGTTCTGCTCAGTACTGGTGCCCAAAGCTTGATGAATGTGGGCACGAGGCTGCAGAAGTGGGGGGTCAGAAGCTGGGGGGGGGTCTGGGGCTTGAATCATCTGTCCTGCCCCCACCCCCAGCAGGTAGGGGACGACCAAAGGGAAAGAAGCCACCGGCCGAGGGCTGACCGGGGCTCACCCGCCTCCCTGTGCGCCTGGCCGCCTGCCCTCCCCACCCAGGAGGCGGCAGGAGAGGGAGGGGGGCACGGCTGCCTGTTTGCCAACAATTAGTTCACATTTATTGAGGCGCGATACAGTTGCACAGAACACACAGCCACGCTCCCTGCCCTCGAGGGGCTTACAGTCTAAGAGGAGACAGACAAACCATTAATTCTTTGGGGGAGGGGGTGGTTTTCTGTGGCTCGGATGGCGCGGTGGGGGAGAGGGAGATCCACCTGCCCTTCCCCTTGCTGGAAGAAATGGCAAACTCAGAAGAGAGAGCAGAAAAACGCCGGTGAGGCCCAGCAAGCCAAAGCAGGGGGAGGGGAAGGAAGGCAAGAGTGTGGGGGGGGCAGCGGGCTCCCCACCTTCCACGGTCAGGCAGCCTCTTGGAGGGGCAATGCCCGCCCGGGGAGGATAGTGAAGCCCCCAGGCCTGTGAGAAGCCACTGAAGAGTCTGTGGGGCCCCAGGGGGTCCGAGCCCGCTACCCCAGCAGCCAGGGCAGAGAGGAAGGGGTTGCACCATGCTGCTACAGAGCGGCAGTGCCCTCTGCTGGGGGCAGAGCTAAGAACAAGCCAAACCTTCTAAGAAGCAAGACCAAGGCAGGCACCAGGACAGAAGCAGCAGCAGTAGAAGGGAGAGCAGAGGCAGCTGGGGGGCCTCCCGGAGGCTCCCCAGCCAGAAGCCAGGGAGTTCAGACAGGGCCGAAGGCATCAGCCAGCCCTCCATCTGCAGGGCTGAGCATCTGGTGGCCACCGAGCCTGGGCCACACTGGGTCAGCACCACGGCAGGTGGACCACCACGTGGAAGCACAGTTAGAGACCCTGCAGCCCCCAGGAGAAGATCCGGACACTAAAACAAAAGCAGTGGCATCATCTCCCAGCGTGACAGTCCTCGGAAGAACATGCAGGGTGGCCCCCCTCAGCCCCCTGCCCTAACAGGCCATCTCCTCCTGGGTTTGACTGCTGGGGGCAGGACGGAGCCCCAACTCCCAAGGCTTGGCTAGACCTGGACCAAGGTCCCCACGAGGAGGAAAGGGGCCCAGGACCCAGGAGAAGCGTGAAACGAACAGGCAGGGGCAGCCAGACCCAGGGCGCGCACAGCAACACACGGGCGCGCACACACGGCCTCACCACCAGCATCCCCTTTAATAAAACACGCAAGGTCACGGGTGACAGGGAGGGGAAAGGGGAGTGAAATATTACCATTTACAACCACAAAAAACCTCTGTACACGTCTAACGCCAGTTAGCGGGGGGGAGAGGCGTGCCCGGCGCCGGCCCGCCTATTTGTACAGGATGTCGTAGTGTCCGGGCCTGTACAGCAGATATACCTTGGGCTCCGAGCCCTCCGGGAAGACGTGGGGGTTGGTGGTGCCGCCCTCACCGCGGTCCATGTACTCCACCTGGATGGAGACGTTGAGGGCCTGCGCCAGCGCGATGATATGGATGTGGTCGCTCTCCTTGCACATGGGCTCCACCTCCTGGAGGGGCGAGAGGGCAGAAAGGTGACCGGGCGGACCCAGGCGCAGCCACGCCACTCGTCGCCCCTCCGCTCCTGCCCCGGCACACAAAACCGAGCCTGAGGACGTGGGCAGGGGGAGGTCAGAGCTGCTCCTGGGCCCGTGCTCCTGTGGCCGCTGGCCTGGAGGAGGCCTGGCCAGACAACCCTGGACCGGCTTGGCTAAGGGGTTGCCAGATTAGGGAGCAGAAAATGAACCGTTTGGGTGCAATGACTCATGAGTAGGTGAGCCATGATCGCACCAGGGGATGAAGTGCCCACATCCGGAAGACAGGAGGACCAAAATAAGGTAAAAAAAATGGCAAGCTAAAGGTCAGTGTGCTGAGGAGCAAGCTGGACATTGAGGGGGTGCCGGGGACGGGGGAAGGGTCCGGCGGGCACCTGCTGACAAAACTCCTTGACGGTCCGTCCCCCCTCGATGAAGTGTTCAAAGAACTTGCTCTCGCGCTGCAGGTAGCCCGAGGTGAGCAGCCGTAGGTAGACCACCAGGTAGTCGGAAGTGCTCTGGTCGTTGAAGGAGGCCAGCAGTTCGGCCACTGAGGTCTGCTTCTCCACCTGCTCGATCAGGTCCATGAACTGCCCAGAGGGAGGCAAGAGGGCAGCTGGTCAGTCACCCCGCCTGGCCCCAAGGCCTCCCCCCCCCCCCAGCTGGGGGCCAGAGGCCCGCTCACCGTGTTGTGGAAATCCTCAATTGTGAACTCGGTGAAGCCCTGAGACACCAGGTCCTCTTTGCTCTTGGCAGAGACGGCTTTAAACCTGTGTAAAGGAGGCAAAAGTCACGAGGGAAGAAGGAGAGGGAGGTGGGCGGACGGGAGCCAAGAGCATCTGGGTCCACGGCTTTGCACCAACAAAGAGCAGAGAAGAGATGAGCACGGACTGCCCGGCAGGGCTGAGGGCTCATTAAAGTGGCCAGAAGTTAGTGGAAAGACTACCGGGATGGGGGTCAGAAGAGACCTCAGCTGGGAACCCGAAGTTTGACATTTCTGACTACCATGCCCTAGACTAGTCGTAATTTGAGTATCAGTTTCTTTATCTGCAAAATGAGGAGGCAAATGTTCATGCTGCCTGATTCCCCAACGCCGTGGTCAGGAAAACACTCTATAAGCCTCTAACACGGGCCATGACAGCCAAGCTCACTGCTGCAGGCTTGGCCTGGAAGGGGCTTCAGGAAAGGACCCCACAGACACCCTCAGGGGATACCTCTGCAGCTCCTTGCTGTCCTCCAGAAGGGCCTCAAGGTGGGAGAACCCGAAGGCTCGGTAGAAGCAGTTACCATCAGGCCTGGTCTTTCGGATGTAGGAGTATTTTTTGTGTAGGTCCTGTGGAGACAATGGAGGAGCCACTGAAGGCCGAGGTGAAGCTGGGCGGCTTTCCCGTCTATGCTCAGGGATGGCCCTGTGGACAGCTTCGAGGAGGGCCAGATGAAGAAGCATGCAGGAAAGTGAGGGCTCCTTGTAAATCAATGCTCAGAGCCCTGCAGAAGTGGGATGTTCTCTCAGCAAGAAACGGCAGTGAAGAGAGGGGAATCAGAAACTACCCTCACTAACAGACTTCAAACGTGGGGCTCCCTCACCACACCAGCCTTCTGAGAAGGCAGGCCGTGGCTGCCCCCAGTGATATGCTCAGATGCTCGCCTCAGCGGCCACACCACACACAAGGTGGGCCGAGTCCCCACAGGGTTGGCCGCATGCACCAGGCAAGAGCAGAAGCCAGTTTCTGGCCTATAAAGTGATTCGATAAGCATTTTCTGAAATTCCCGTCGAGGCCCTACAGACCCCAACAACTAAACACTGTACAGAGGGCCTTTCCCCATCCACTTTCAGAAGCCCCGGCTCTCGGGTGGAATCAGAAGGGTCCCTCGTCCATCTACTAAAAGAAGGGGGATCTAGGAGCCCCAACCTTGATCTTCTGTTGGTAGATGTTGTCGTCTTCCGCGTACTCCTTGTACAGCACAGAGAGCTCCAGGCGCTCGGAGACCAGTGGATTCTGAACAGCAATCTGCAAAGGGGAAGGAAGGAGGGGACAGGAGCAGCCACTTGGCAGGTCCAGGAAAATATCTGTCTACCTCAACCCCCAGGCAGAAGCACCGGAGCCCGTGGGCTCCTGGAGGGACCTCGGTCTGTCTTTCAGGAAAACCCTGGTTCTCCCACACCCCTGAACCAGGTTCAGAAGGCTCGGCCAGAGGAGCTGCTCCCCAAACCCAGGCCTGGACAAGTGATCCAGAGCCCAAAGAGCACAAGGCAGGGCCTCAGGCTCACGCGTCTTCTCTAGTCATCCTTTCGTTTGGGTTTTTGGTCCAGGCCTGGATTCTCCCTAGACAGATCAGCGGCTGGTCAGATCTCAGAGAAATGCCGGGGAGGACAACTGTGGTTAAATGACTCGCCCAAAGGACTCCGGATCCTCCAACCTCCCAGGCTGACAACTGTGGACAAGCAGCTGCCTTGTTAAGGTCCCATTCAGTGAAATCGATGGATGACTCTCCCCCAGCGGAGACCAGGCCCAACCCAGCACATGGGGCCCCTCAGGCAGAGCCAGATCTTTGCCCCCCCCCCCCAAGCACAGCCCTCTCCCCTGCCTCATTCTCCTCCAGGCACAGCCCTCCTCCCCTCACCTCTTGCTGAATTCGGTCCTGCTGGGCCATGATGGCTTCATCGTAGGCCAAACAGTTAACTCCTGGAAAAAGGAAAAAGCAGAAAGCATATGAAAGGCCCTTGCAGTCAGCCACCTCCTCTGCAAAGACACCTTGGGTTAGGCCCAAAAGATGCTGGTCTAGGGCCCTGATCATAGGGGGCTGAGGCCCAGATCTCCTGGATCTGACTTGTTGTCATCTCCTTCTATGGGCCTCAGTTTCCGACTCCTTAAAACATGGAGAATGAACTAGAGGCCCCTTCTTACACCTGCCAAGGCCTCTCCGGTCACTCTTTCTACAGCACTGGCCAGCGACGGATGCAAGAACAGCTCCAGGTTACGGTATAATGGAAACTTTCCAGAGCACGTGAGTGGGGTGCGTGCCCCCCCAAAGAGGCCCCAGGCAGCCTTCCGGCCTGACCCTCAGAGAGTGACCCTCGCTAGCCCGAGCATTTCCCACCAAACGGGTCTTCCTCCCGGGCCGCCCGCACCAGCTGGGCTTCCTTTGTCCACCCACAGCAATCCTTTGCCCCACACGGCTTCCCCTCCCAGGCAGTAACATGACTCCCTCCCGAAGCCAGGTCTCTGGGGGATGGAGCAGGGGCGGCAGCGAGGTACCAGCTCAGCCGGAGGAAGACACAGGATCCTCCTGGCCCATCTCACCCCACCCAGACAGCCAGCCAGCCAGCCGGGGCCCGCGATAGTGGGGGGAGGCCTAACCAGAGGGCCGGAGGGAGGCGAAGCCAGGAAGCATCTGGGGGGAGAAGATGCCCCAGAGACCCCGAGGCTGGGCCAGGCCAACCTGGAGGGATGAAGGATGCAGGGGCGGGGCAGGCGGAGAGGACCACAGGCAGGCCGAGGTCGGGGCCACAGCGTCGGAGAGGAGAGGGGGCACCTGAGCAGGCTACACTCACATGGTGAAAGGGGACCTCACGAAGTCACAGGATGGGGGGAGAGAAAACCAGATGAAATCGATTTGGGGGAGATGTTTAAGGGACTGGCAGAGAGGACCAGATGAAATCGAGGGATTTGGGGGAGATAGGGGAGGGGGCCAGACAAAATCGGGGGCTTTGGGGGAGATGAGGGATTTGGAGGCGTGGGGGGAGGAAGCCAAGGGGGGCCCTGGGACTTGAAGGGGGTAATTAGAGGGCCTGGGGGCGCGCGGCCAGAGGAAATCAGGGCAGGGGAGCGTCAGCCCTGGGGGCGTGGAGGAGGGGCCCAGGTGTGAGAGGGAGGGACCCGAGGGTGGGGCTAAGGGAGGTAGAGTCCCGCCCCCTAGCCCCGCATCCCCGCCCTGCGGTGCGGCCGGAGGAAGGGGAAGGCGCGTGCTCGCGGGCGTGGGCGCAGGTGCGCGCGAGGGGCGGCCGCGGCAGCCTCGGTCTGGCACTGGGCGCGCACCCCCCCTCGGCCGCGCAGGCGCGCTCGACCCTTCCCGCGCTCGCGTGCCCGCGCGCCGCTCCCGCGGCCGCCCTGCCCCTCCCCCTCCGCCCCCGCCCACGCGGCCGGGGGGGGGTCTCAGGAGGCGGCTGCTTCCCCGGTACGTGGGGGGCAGCGATGGAGCCCGCGCGCCTCGCCTCAGCTCTACGGCCCCCGGCCCCGGCCCCCTCCGTAATGGCCGGGCCGCGCATCGCCCGCACTCCCCAGGGGCCCCCGGCCCCCACCCCCCCCCCCCCCCGCGGCCGCTACCTTCGGAGTCGCTTCCGAGCGGCTCCGGCTTCTGCTGCTGAGGTTCCTCCGCCGCCATCTTTAAACAGCGCCGCACCCACGACCACTTCCGGGTTATTAGCGCCTCTCCTCCCGGAAGTGAATGGCCGCCCGCCTCCTCCGGACTCCACGCTCCATAGCAACGCCCATAGCAACTGGAATCCCCGCCCCCGCCCCTCCCTGCCCTCCCTTTTGGGCCGCCTAGTCAGCAGGAAGCTAGGGATGAGGCGTCGGGAGATGGGGCTCGGCGCCCAGGGTCCTGGAATCTGCAGCTGGGAAGGGCCTCGGAGGTCATCCAGCCCAGCCCCCTGGGCATACAGATGAGGAAACTGAGGCCCAGAGGGGAGTGGAGCCCGTCGTTGTACAGATGGGAGCACTGAGGCAGAGAGGGGACTCATACAGCTGACCCAGTCTCCTCCTCCACTGGAGGCAAGGGGAAACCGAGGACCTGAGAAAGAGGTCACCCAGCTAGGCAGACTGCTTCGTGTGTGCCCAGGAAGGGGTCGGTCACTGCATTGGCCCCACCCATTCATTATGCACATGGGGAAACTGAGGCCCAGAGAAGACATCACCCAGCTGGTCCATCTTCCTCAAGAGAAGGGAAGTGACTTAAGTCACTTCAGCCCAGCAGCAAGTGTCTGAGGCAGAATTCAAACTCAGGCCAGCCTGGCTCCAAGTCCAGTGGACATCCACCCTCAGCACAAGATGCCTCACACACAGCAGGTGCTTAAATCTCAGCAGAGATGAACGTTGTAAAGATGCCCGGGCAGCGACCCCAGCAGGCCTCTCCAGCTGCCCCTTTCTACTGCAGAGTCGCCTTGACCCTCCCTCCCTAGCCACCTCATTATCACAGCTTCCTAGGACCAAAAATGGAGACCTGGGAGGAACTTCACAGCTCATCTGCTCATTTTACAGATGAGCCAAATGAGACACCCAGAAGTTACATGATTTGCCCAAGGTCACACAGTCAGGATTTGAACCTCAGTCCGCTACTGTAAATTCCACTCTTTTTCCAGTGAACACCCTAAGGAAAGATTTTAGCATGCTCTTCTAGTAAAGCGGAAACCCTCAAGATTGCAGACTCTCGGAAGGGACATCCGGCCTGTAACTGAAGCGCATCCCCATAATATAGACTCTGATGAGCTGTCTGATTTCCAGTGACAGGGAACTCACTCCCTCCTGTACCCCACTCCAGCCCACCTCCAAGGCAGCCTGTGCTGCTCTGGGCAGCTCTCATGATCAGGAAGGTTTTTTCCTAATGTCAAGTCTAAAGTGACCTCTTGGCAACGTGCCCTGTGTGCCCTGATTCTGCCCTCTGGGTCCCACCCTGAGACTGGTCCCTGATAACTCTCCAAATGCTTGAACGGAGGCACTGTGTTGGCCAAGTCTTCTCTCCAGGCTCCGAATGCTCAGGGGACACAGACTTGAGCCCCCTCCCCATCCCTGCTCCCCTCTTTCTCCAGTTCATCAGTCACCTGCTTAAGCCCTGGCTCCCAGGACTGCCCATACTCCTCCTCCAGATGTTGGCTGGTCAGAGCAGGGCATGAGATGACTTGTGGCCTCCTCCTCTCTGGAAACCGAAGACCTCAGTGCAGCCACATGGTTCCGGCTGCTGCTTCCCACTGCCCACTTCTATTGGACTTGCACAATGAGTCTGCAGACCTGCAGACTGGTGGCTGTCTCACTGGACAATGCCTTCATCAGATCGGACTCGGGCAGTTGGTTGTTGGACCCCAAGGTATCTTATTCCATAAGTATCTTTTGGGAACTCCATCATCCAGAGTGTTAGGTGTCCCACTCAACCGTGTTCCATCTACAAATCTTATAAACATCTCATCTGTGCTTTCATCCAAGTCATTGCCCAGAAGGTTGAGCAGCACAAGGCTGAGCCCAGAACCCTGAGGGTTCCCCCGGAGATCTCTTGCCAAGTTCACATTGTAGCATGTTCAGACACAAGACTGTGGACCCTAAAATCCAAGTGGAGAATTCAGGAACCCAGAGGCAACTTCTGTCCCAGCTTCTAGCCCGGGGCCAGAGACAAACAGAACTACACATATCACCCGACAAGCCTTCAGCCCTCCTGTTTCCTCTCCCCACTCCCACCACCCAAGAGGTTTCTCCCAAATTCCAGCTTGAAGGGACCTTAGCCATAATCTATCTTCCCTTGTACAGATGGGAAAGTGAGATCCTGGGACATCTCAAATGTATTAATGTTGGAGCTGGGACTGACTTTGAAGGGAGTGTCCTTTACACACCAGAAGCGTGGCACCCACCCACCCTGGTTAGAGGGAATGTCCTCTTCCCCCTTAGCATTTCAGACCCAGTGCTGGTGGCATGTCTGTGAATCAAAGCCTCATGGCTACCTCAGTTAGGAACTTGTACACATCAGGAATTTCTACTGACAGGGGAGTGAAACCCCCAAGTTGGTGGAAACCTCAGGTCCAGGTGAAGATCCCTGCTTCGGCCTGGCTGTGGCTCAGGGCAGACAGATATCTGGGTCACTTGAACAGCTGGCACAGTATAATCTGGAGAGGTGGTGACCTGGATTGCAAATCTGGCAGAGACCCTCCTTTGAGACCCCATTCCCTGCTTTCAGCTCGGCACATGCACTGAGCATCCCTTGGGTCTCCAGTGCCCAGGCAGAGCAGCAAGGCCATCTCTGGCACTGGCCCACCTGGCCCTCATGCACAGCCTGCTTCCCCCCCCATGTCTGGGTCCCTCTACCAGAGTGCATTCTTACAGGTGCCCTGTGCTCTGCTTGGCCATATTTTAGTCTACATTTAACAGACAACCTCCTGGCCAGAGGCATGGGCAGCCCACCCTGTGCTGTGGACAGCCAAGGCTGGCACCGCCCTCACACAGTGCCATCCTCAGCAGAAAGTGACCATGAAGCCCCCCCCCCAGTTCCTTCTGGGCATCTCTGAGGGCCCTTCATCCCGGCTGCTGCAAGATCTCCAGAACAACACTGGGACCAGAGGCCTCACTGGGCAGGACGTTTGTCAGGTGCCCTTCCTTGCTGCTGACAGGTGACAGATTAGGGGATGGACTGGCCTGTGTCCCCTGGACTTCCTCCGGGTCTCCAGGGAGTGGGGCTGGGGGAGGGTGTGATGGGAACATGCCCTGACTCTTCCCCAGGCCACACCCATGGTCCATGTGGGGTGGGCCAGAGGAGGCAGCCAGGCCTCCAGGAGGGGGACCACAGTTCTCCTACGGGGAAGGGGCTGCTGGGTAGGTGCTCAGGCTCCTTCCTCCTGAAATGAGGCAGGAAGCCTTGAATGCCACCGGGCAGGCCCTGGAGTCTTTGCCAGTCGGGATCTGCTGAGCAGGCAGCCGGGTCACTTGCAGGAGGGCGAGCTCAAACCTTGGGAAGTACTTGCGATGATCCACAGGCCAACAGCCGTGGACCAAGTCAGCCAAGGCAGCTGATGTCAGAGGAGACTTGGCAACGTCTCTGCTTCGAGGCCTTCTGGTTGAGCCTGGAGCGCCCAGCAGCCCACAGGGGACAAAATAACCCCAATCCTCACTCAAAGAGCCGTGTGCCAGGAGCAGCTGGCAGGCTTTGCCAGGACTCTCACAAAGCCAAGGGGCTCCTGCAAGGAATCGGTGAGGAGCCCTTCATCCCTCACACGTGCCCTGGAAAGCTGAGGTTGGGGCACGACCCTGTGATTTCAGTCCAAGTTAGCTTCCCAGGGGTCCAAAGCCTGAAAATGCCTGGTCACTGGTCCCCCCGATTCTCCCTTCTACCCCCACCCACACACACCAGGCCAAGGGCCCCCACAGGACGGAGGAACCGCCCCACTCACCTCCACCTGCCAGGTTCGGTCCTCAGCAGTCTGACACAGGAGTTCTGAAGGCCATGGCTGCTGTCCACCCGGAGCTCAATGCCAGATGCCCCAAGCAACACAACTTCCCCCTTGGCAATGAAAAGCAGCCATGCCCCTACTCCTGACAGGCTACAGTGGGCAAGGTGGCAGTTACCAGGGAAACCCACAAGGCTGCCCCATGCTCGGCATCCGGAGCATGGCTATGAGATCAACGCTGGGGCCCAGGTTACCCCCTCCCCCAAGATGATCTCGGGCAGGCAGCTGACAGCCAGTGTTCTGAAAGATGACGCCACCCATCCTTCCCCCCAACTCCCGACTGCAGAGCCCAGATCTGCAGGCTCAGGCCCGCTGCAGGGGAGGAGAGAATGGGATCTGCAGAAAGATGCCTGAAAAGGCCCCAGGACAACTTCCTAGGGGCTCTCAGACCCCACCTCTCAAAGCTCAGGGTGGATTGCCAACCCCCTGCTCACGAAGAAGGCATTTGTGAAAAAGGATAGCTGGCCAAGGGTCAGAGGGAGAAGCCCCCTGCTTGAAGGAAGCCCAGGGCAACAAGGCAGAACCACTGGGGTGATGGGGGAAGGCCCAGAAATACTCAAACAAGGGGTTCAACCTTAGCTACCACCAACTCTTCTAAAAGGGAGAGGACCCTCCTGAAGTGGGAGAAAGCAGTGAAATAAGGTTATTCCCAACTGCTGGCCTCCATCTTTTTTTCTCCTTTCCTCTTTATATCCTTCCCTCCTGCCTGCTCTGCCCTGATAAAACCAAGCCTGTGGGGTGATGAGGTAGACAGCCCCGCCAACATCCAAGCACCAGCTCACGCAGAGCCGACGGGCAGGTTCAACCCAGCTCAGTCACCGAGAGCCGAGACAGAGGCCACGGGGCCAGAGCCCTCGCCAGCGCAGCTCTCCCCAGTGGAAAATATCAAATGAAGGTGGAAATGAGCAAAGTAAGGCTCGGGAGGTACACCTCATGGGACACTGAGGGAGGTCCCCTGGAGGAACCCTTTGAAATGGGCCTGGTTCTAAGAGGACAAGGATGGAGAAGAGAGTGGCAGATTTTGTTCAAAATTGCCTTTAGGTGTAACTGGGGAAAAAATACTTTTTAGAAAGGACGCTTCAAGAGTAGAAGGGGCAGAGAACAAGCATTTATTATGCGCCTACGCTCTGTAAGCACTATGTCAATTACCTCATCAGATCCTCACGACCACCCTGGGAGGAAGGGAGGGATTCTGCAGCTGAGGAGACTGAGGCCAGCAGGGTCAGTCA